GCCAGCAGAGATTAAAAAATACACTCCCTAATATTATGAAATTTTCAGCACATTGAGAAAATTGAACATGATGATCACATGTTCACCAGAAAAGGAATTAGAGTCAGTGTTATAGTCGATACTTGGCCCCTTTCTTTACATTGAAAACCTTCCTGGCAACCCGGCTGGTGGGGGGAGGTTATTCGAGAGTTTGCACGGGACACGCAGGTCTTGTGCAAGGGAAGCTTACATGAGCTTATACACAGTCAGTCACTCATGACTCACAACCAGTCACTCATGGTCAGTCACGAGGAAGAGAAGCTCGAGTAAGCATCGAGCCGAAAGGCAGTCACTATAATATTCTCGTTCGAGGGAGGGACAGAGCCAATGTCAACTCGCAATACGGAAAACCAACTACTCTTGTTTCAAACAAATTAAAAGTTATTTTGTGCTCTTGAAAAGGTAGGAGTTCGTCTTTTTACATCAAGATATTCGTCTGAGTATTTGGTAGTGCTGTGTTCCGTAACCATCGGAACTGAAATCATTACATCTAGCACATCCATACCCCAAATTTTCAGTTCACTCATGCTATTTACTCCAAGTGAGGTAAACAAACTGATTTCGCCCTTAAAGGCCACACAAACCATTCAGAAAGGAAATAATAAATTTAACATGTGCTCCTGTCTAAAAGGAGATCACACCGTCGCCGTTGGGCGTTCCCCTGGGGATAAAGTGTTAATGTTAAAAAGGAAAGGAGAAGAGTTTAACTGCAGGCTTGCCAACTTTTTTTCAAAACCCAGTCAGAGAGATTCAACATTTTAACATCAGACTACGTCACACACCGACAATATCATATCAAGATAGGCTAGCTTTGGTGTGGTGTTCGAGGTAAGGCTCTGAATTCCTGATTGCTAAATCAGAAAGGCCCTGAATTCCCATTTGCGGAATATGGGAAAGTCCTGAGAAATTATGGACAGTTGGCAAAATGCTGTAAATGTGATGTGATGATAACATAGGTTTTTTTTTAACCTTTTTAATTAATTTTAAAAAAAATTCATTTACTCTTTTTCTTAATGAAGGTGGTGAGGTGAGATGAAATGAGAGGAGTTGAAAGGAACCGAAGGTAAAAGTTTAAGGTCTAGTTGAGGTCTCCAATCAGATAGGATGAAG